GGCATTGATCCCATCGCAACCGCTGCTGATAGGCCCGTGGCGGGCTGCCCCGCAGCTGTAGGAGCATCGGGCGCCCCCGCGCGATTCATCGCGCGGCGTAGCTGTCGCTGCTGATTGCGTCGTTGGCGAGCCAGTCGCATTGAGAGGTTGGCCTGCTGCGCCTCGTGGATGGCGCAAATCTCGTTATGCAGCTCTCACATAGAAGTGGGTGCCACCAGCTCTGGCCCGTGATGATTGACCTTCTGGTCCATGGGAGCTGCCAAGGACCGCAACGGGGCGCCTGGCCTGGGATGCCCGATTCGCATTCGGCTCCCCGCGTTAACTAGGACCGATAGAAGTCACCGGCCGTTGCCCGAACGTACGTGTTCCCGGGTAGAATGCCGACCCGAGGAATGCCCGTCTCCTGAGCGTAATACTCAGGAAACGCAGGTGCAGCCATAGGTGGTGCAGCAGGCCTTTCAGCAGCTGTCGGCTCGTACGTCGGGTGACTGAAGAATGCTGGTATGTATCCATACCTGTTAGACTGATCAGGTGATGGATTCGCGACTGGGAAAGAATTCCCAGGGGCGAGTCCAGTCGGCGCTCGGGAGGCCAATGCCGCCCCGCCCCATGTTTTCCATCGCCTCGAGCATCTGCCTGTGCATCCACCGCTGCTGCCCAAGAGGATCTCGGCCCTTTGGGCGGGCCCCTGGTCTGCACGCGCAGGTTGCCCCGCAACAGCACGTGGAGATGCGAATGGCGATGTCGCTTGCATGGCTTGGTCGAGCTGAGGATCCATCCGGATGCTGTGGAGTCGGGCCTGCAGACTGTCGGTGCTGCCAGCGCTCCGCGGAGTGCCGAATGGGGTCGCGGCCCTGCGCGTGGGAGCGATTGCGGCTGGTGGCCCCGCAGGTGCCGGCATTTGCTGTGCCTTATTGCGCCTCGGATCGCTCGCATACTGTCCGTCGTTCAGCGCGACTCCGCTATCAGGTTGGATCCATGACCCATCCGAGCCTCCCGCAGGAGCCCCCGCTTGACGCGCCTCTTGCATCGTGAATACAGATGCGCGTTCTACCTCAGATGCAGGTGTCGAGACTGGAACCTTGAGGTAGCAGGGAGTCCCAGGCGCAATCCGCCCTTTCAATGTAGGCGCATCGCATGGATATTCATAGTACTTCTTTGGCGCAGAAGTGGAAGCACGCAGGTTGCCCCGCTGGTTGTCTTCAAGATACCATTCGTTGACCCACGCGTGTCCAACTCGATCGCATTTGCACTGGACACGGTTAATCTTAATGGAAATAACTTTAAACATCTGGCTTGGCGGAATCCTGCCACGGATACCCGACGCCACGACGACGTCGTCGGCAGACCGCCAAACCGGGATGTTGTCGCGAAGTAGATTCTCGAGGCTCACCATGATCAGAACTTCGGGCTCCATCCGCAGGCTTGTTTGAATCCGCCCATCTCCAGGTAAGCATAGGCATCCGCGAATCATCTGCCTGCCTCTCCAATTGGCATTGTCCTCGCTGCGGCACGACAGACCATCGTGTAGCATGTTCGGGGCGCTTGCCCATTGCGCACCGTGGATGAAGTAGCATGGCGCTCCCGGTTTGCTCAGGTCCGTTACCCGTGAGTGCAGACCTTCCGGGCGTCTGATGCCTGAATTGCTGCGTCCGCTCCTGGGGCGCAAGAAGTAAGTCGGGCGGGGTTTCCGGCAGAACTTGAGCATCTTCACCTGATGTCCGTCCTCCTGCGCGCCGGAGTTGCGGTCGATCATTCCGCAGAGGTTGAGCGCAGCCACTGCTTGATGTGCCCAGTGCTGGCCTCGGAGGCATTTCTGGATGACGCCCAGGTGATTAATGTGCCAGAGCTCGCGTCTTTCTGGTCAAATTTCCAGCAGGTCTCCGAGGTCCGAGGCCCGCCCAACCGTCAAACTCGTCGTACGAGGTGCCGCAGCTGATAAACCGTTCGGAGAGCTTGTCGTGGCGAAGTTGCTTGTGCCGCGTGGCTGTGGTGAGCCGCTCCGAGCAGCGACGCTCGTCGCATTCGCTCGGGGGCCTCGTGCGATGTGCGCGCCATGCAGTATCTGCACTAAGTGTTCCTCCTCGGATGCGAAACCATGGGCAAGTTCTTTCCGCAAAATATTGCGGGCGCGCTGACGGCCAAGAGCATCGTTATCAGCGCGCGTGGCGGCGCGCTCTACTTTGCCGTGCACCGCCCCGCAACGGTCAGAGCCGTCAGGGGCATGGGGCCTGTAGGCTGGGTTGACCTCCAAGGTCTCCCAGAATCGCCCGCTTACTTCTCCAGTTCAAGGGCAGTGGCAGGTTGCCCAGCAGGCGCAACGGCTGGTTCAGCGGGCGCCCTTGCAAGGATCGCAGCCGCGGCGGGCGCTGCAGATGACCTTGCACTCTCAGATGCCTTCTTCTTTTCGCGGATGTCGCGGCACTGACATCTGGTAATCTCTGGGGCAGCCCCCGGTGCCATTGACGCAGTCTACAGCGCCTTCTCACCCTCATCTCGCTGCGAGGAGGGCCCCCTGGATGCGCCGCCCAGCGATGGCGCGGCATCTTTCGGGTTGCCCCGGCGCCCCTTGCCCTTCCCTGAGGTGCGCCTGCGTTTTCTGTTGCTGCGTTTCCGGTTTTCAAATTCATGTGCGCAAGATTCTTTGTTGGAATGACGGCTTCGACCCGCCCCCAGGAACATGTCTTCGCATTGTGGTCCAGTAAAGGATGCCAGGAATGCCAACATACCTCTGCCATGTCGTCGCCGTCGTTTGCCGGTGCCCTTGCCGCTACCCTTTCCCTTTGCTCTGGCAGCCCGTCGGATAGTACGTCGTATCTTACGAACTGATTTCTTCATAAAGCGTCTCCAGAGGCGTGTGTTTCTGGTATCCAGAAATCTCATCTGCGCCTGTTGCTCTTCTGTGAGATGCGAAAGCATGTCGGAAAAATCTAGGGTACCAGTTCCGTCACATGATGAGGCGTCGGTGTCTGTACCAAAATCAAATTCAGACTCGGCGGTTTGCCCCGCTGGGCCTACAAGGGTAGTGGCCGGCGGTCCGTGAAATCGAGTCCAGGAGTTTTGCGACCCCGTAGGCTGGCCACCATGCTGAGCTAATGAGGTGGTGGCTTCTGTTGGTTGTGGATCATCGTTTCATACGTTGGTAGCGAGTTGCCCTGCATTGGTATCAGTGTGAAAAGTTTCGGCGCGATGACCGCGGGTAAATGTACACCCATGTGGCCAGGGGTTCGCTCGACAATGAGAGCATAAGACCTCATGCGTTCTAGTCGAGGGTGAAATTGTTGCTGGGCCCTTGGCATTTGGTGGCTGCATGGTTGTAGTAGTTGTTGTGCACGCGACGTACCCACTCCCAAAGCCCTGAACATGATGACTGTTAGGACCTGAAAATTGGGGATCTTGAAGCACGCTTTCTCGGCCTCTAAGCGGGCTATCTCAAAGCATGCTAACGTCTGGTCGATCCGCTCTTCGCATGGACGCGAAAGTCGATGAAAGCCGTTCCTGAATTTAGTTGGCGCTCCTCCTCTAGATGTTCGAATTAGTGCTGAGAGGGAACATAATGTAGGTGGCGCCGTCAGTGTGGCGACCACCGATGTTGACGCCAAAGTTGATAATTCCAGAAGGTACTCTCATGGCTATGATCCTTGCGAGCCCTCCCAGACCACGCTGTAGTGGTGCGGCCCGTTTGGAAGGGTTCATACTGCCTATGGTCACGTTAATCCAGGCGTGTACGTCGCGAACGAACTCGTGAAAAAAAGGTACATTACCGGCAGGGTCCCACTGGGGGCCGGTTGTACGTTTGTCGTTTCCGCCACGCTGCATATGCCCCAATTAATACCCACAGGAAGCCGAAGATGGTAATACCAATCTAGTGGCCACTTAGGTCGTGGTCGGACGTTCGTGGCTGGGGGTTGTCATGTGTTGTAGTGAACCTGCGTGGAGGTGGACGAGGCACAATGACGTATCGCATGTCGCCATGCATTGCGTCTTCAAAGTCGTATCCACTTGGAGTAGGAGGGTGGACTTCAGGATTGTAATATCGCAATGAGGTGGGGCTCATGTAAGAAGCCTCCGCGAAAACGGAGGTCGCGCTGCAAGTGTCCTTGCGGTTGTGCGTAAGTATGTACACTCCTCCGAGCAGACCCACTGCACCCTGATGTTCCACCATACCAGTAGTCCCCCAGATTTTGCAGTGGATGGTGAGGAGTACAGCTAGAGCTGACCACCGTAAACCAGCTCCGCTATCAAGCTTGGAGGTAGTTGGGAGGCCCAACCAGAAGCTTCGCCTATGTCGAAACCCATCTCCAACTCTGTCGCACCGTAATAGCGATAGTCCAAAAAGTAGGAGATCGTCGCGGGAGCGACGGGCCTGTCAAGCGAATTTGTTTTCGGTTTCGCTGGCAAGTAGCGTGCCTCGCGATGAGGCGCAATCATATGTTGGCGGCCGGTCGCTTGAGAACAAACGGCCGCGGACAAACGCTCGCTATCTCTCGCCGTTGCCCCAGCCTCCTTTCGAGCTCCTGGGCCAAACCCCTCAACTTCCGGGCCCCAGTTAGGGTCTCCAACGTTCGTTCGGAACGATCTGGGCAGCCCCAGAACGCCGAGAATGCGAAAGTGAATGCAAGCCTCGTTCCCTGAGATCCGCCGTGGCGAAAACTATTGCGACATCGCCAAGAATCACGACTGGAGCCCCGGAAACCCCTTCATGTATCTCCCGAGCCTGGTCAATATTTGTGAGGGTCCTGGGGCCCGCAGCGCAGCGGAGGAAGACGCCCGGATCTCAGGGGACCTCCATGACTAGCACGAGTGGAGCGGGCCCAAAGGAAAACGGGGGCTTTCCCCCAGGACGGAGTCTTAATCCCGAGTCGTTTTCTGACGGCCCCGGGGCCCGTGGAGGGGCCCCCCGAAAGCCCGAACACGGTGAACAACCTCAGGACACCCGCTTCCCTCAGGACCCGTTCCTCCCCCCGTGGCGAGGTGCCCCCGACGCTGCCCTGGACGTCCGCGAGACCGGCCCCGCGCTGCCGGTGCTCAGCAGGCGCTTGCCGCCGGGGGCGTCGGAGGCCGTCTTGACCACCGAGGGCCTCTCCGCGCCGCCGGCCGTGCGGCCGAAGATGTCGCTGGCGCGGAACATGCCCGCCAGGGGGGCGGGGCAGCCCCGCCTGCGCGGGCCGCCCGCTGCCCTCCGCACCCTCCTCGGATCGGATCGGAGGAGCATCGGATTGTATTAATCGGGGGTGGCCAAGAGGGGGGGGTCCAAGAGGGGGGGGGTGCAAATCATGGCCGGCGGCATGTGCGCGGCCCAACGGGGGGCCAAGGCCATAATGAAATTAAGAGAACCGCCGCGAAACCTGGAGGGATATCATGGCCCACGCCATGATATCCACCCCCTCCAGTCATCACCCCTCTCTTTGCCGCCCCCGAGTGAAGATTGGATCGAATGGGATCGGATCAGATCGGATCGGGCCGGATCGGATCGGGAGGAGAGGAGGAGGAGGAGGGAGGAGGAGGAGGAGGAGGAGGAGAGAGGAGGAGGAGGAGGAGGAGGAGGAGAGGAGGAGGACGGAGGGGAGGAGGAGGAGCGGAGGAGGGAGGAGAGGGATGGGGCGGGCGCTGCAGCTGTTGTCGCTTCAGGGGTTCTGTCGCCCTGCGTCGGGCCCCGGGGCCCCCGCAGATGGACCCGGCGCTCGGGCATGCAGCGGGGAGGTGGGGTCCAGGACTTCCGCCGTGGTGTGCTTTTCATGACGCCGTATTTTTTGAAACGTCGGATCTCAGGGGGCGCTGCCACTCCCACCCCATCCCATGCGCGTTTGCCCCCGGGAGAATCAAGTTGGGAGACGTGTGGAAGGACGGAGAGAACAGAGGGTGGCGCTCCAGAAGGCGGGGTGACCTCCCCCTCGTCCTCGTCCTACTAGAAGACGGACGAAACATATCAGCGCAGCATCTCCGAAGTTCGCGCGGATGCCTTGGATCGGCGCTAGACTCTAGACCGGCGCCTGAGGCGCCGCCAGGAGGGTCCGGCGCCGATCCAGGAACTCCACGCGGACCTCGTACAGCCAAGCTGCTATACTAATGAACATGGGGCGGGATCCCCCCCTCATCCTTCCTCCTCCTCCTCCTCCTCCTCCTCCTCCTCCTCCTCATCCTTCCTCCTCCTTTATCCTCCTCCCCCCCTCCTCGATGCCTGACCTCGACTCCCACCCCTCCTCCCTGCCACCCGCTCGAAGCTGCTCCCCAGGCCCCCCCCCCAGGAGCGCGTGGGTGCCCGAGGAACGCCCGGAGGAGCAACCACCGGAGAGGCCCGGGGGGAGCAGTGGGCCCCTGCCGTGAGCGAGCTGCTCCGCTTCTCGTCGTGTTGGCTGTGCGGCAGGCTGCGGTCGTGTCGGCTCGCGCGCTGGCTTCTGCCACCCGTGCGGGTCGTTCCGCTCCTTCGACGATCGCGGCGGTCTGGTCGAGCAGATCGCCCGATGCTGGCTGATTCTTTGCCGCGTGTGGCAACGTTCAACCTTGAACGCCCGCGCGGGGGTCGCCGCCGCGTCGGCGCCGCGCGAACATGCCATACTCCTACTCCCTCTTGGACGCTTTTGGCCAAGTCCTCTGGGGACCTCAGGAAACCAGCCCTCCGGCGTTGTTGTTTTTGCTTGTTCCTGGCGTCTTTCGCCCGCTGCGGCCTGTACGAGGGTCGCTGTGTGCCTTGGGGCCATCCGAAAGCTATCCATGATGGAAGACCGGCCCTGCGGACGGGGTCAACTTGCAAACAAAAATGAATCCGCCGGAAGTCTGGGTACTTATCTTGCTTCTATCGTTTTCTTAGTTCCATGGCACGCGCAATGTCGGTCGACTTAAACATGGATCATGTGGAATAATACGCTGTCAACCGACGGATCCTGCTACGATTCTAGTTGCTTCTCTCCCTCCTGTCGCCCCCCCAAAAAAAATCCCCCCTCCCTCCCAGCCTCCCTTCTCTCCCTCCTCCCTCCCTCCCTCCTGCTCTGCGGGTCAGGGGCACCGACAGGGGGGGACACGCTCAGGGGGGAATGCATCGACATCCAAACGCCTGCTCATCGCAGACAGGGGCCTGACAGCCCACCCCGCCCAGGAACGGGCCTGTCGCCCAGTCATCGACGATGCGTCGCCGACTCCAGGTCAGCGCTTCTCCCCTGGGCCAGCGGCCCCCCACGAACTCCTCCCGCACCAGAAGCGATCGGTGGGAACTCCTCCCTGCCAGGAGGAGGAGGAGGAGGAGGAGGAGGAGGAGGAGGAGGAGGAGGAGGACGAGGAGGAGGAGCAGAAGGAGGAGAGGAGGATCGTCCTCTCCTGTGGACGCCTGGCGTGAGTAGGGACAAAAGCACGGCTGCGAGCCCATCCGCGAGTGCTGCCCGAAACAGACCAGCGGCCGCCGCTGGACAGGCGGCCTCCTGCCTCGAGTGCGCAGCGCCCGCTGCGGCACCGACAGCGAACCCCGCTTCGAAACGGGCAGAAGCTGCTGGCATCCTTCGGTCCCAATGTTTTCCTACAGCAAGGCGTTCCTCGCTCCTCGCTCTTCGCTCCTCCTCCTCCTCCTCCTCGGAGCGAGGAGCGTGTCTTCACGACCCCGGCATTTGGCTTCCGACGCCGCGTGGATCCTTCCGGCTTGAGCGAGCGCGCGCTCCCAATAGCCAGCGCAGATCCTTCACGATTGGTCGCTTCGACGACACTGGCGGCGTTCCACCCAGAACGCCCGCGCGGAGGCCGCCACCGCGTCGAAACGCGAACCTGCGGCACGCAACCCTGGGGAAAGGTACCGATGCCGCCACTCCGCGGCCCTCTCCGGAAGTGCGTTCTAACCCGGACTTCGAGGCGAATCCAGCCGTGGTGGCGAGGGCCTCCTCCTAGGAGGCCGCACAAACAATTGGAAAACGGGGAGAAGGTCTTCCTCCTCTGAATTTCGGTCCGGAGGGAAGCGGGACCTGAGGGAATCGGATCCTGGACTCTGGGGCTTTCCCTCAGGACGAGGTTCTCATCCTGAATCGTTCTCTGACGGCGGAGGGCTCCGAAGGCCCCAAAGCGGCGAAAAACCTCAGGACCCGCTTCCCTCAGGACCCGTCTCTCTCCTGGCGCCGACCCCCCGCCGCGCGCGCCCCTGCGGCCACGCCCGTGGGCCAGGCTGGGCAAGCGGCCCCCCGCTCGGCCGAGGCCGGCCCGAGCCAAAACTGCCTCGGAGGGTCGCCGGCGGCGGCTGCCGAGGGGCCCCGCTAGTACCGACGGCACGGGCCATGCGACGTGCCGGTGCTCCGCGCAAGGGCAGCGCCCGCGTAGGCGCTACTCGGCGGCGAGCGGAAGGGGGGAAGTTCGGAGGGGCGGGCCTTCTCAGAAGGCTCGGAGTTTCCCCGACCTTCGGAGAAATGTCCCAAGCCTCCCCCGAAGACGCAGAAAACCTCTCAGAAGGTCGGAGGCCTCCTGAGAAGTCCCATCGCCATCTGAGAAGTCCTGCTCCTTCTCATTTCCCCCCCCTTGCTCGCCGCCGAGTTGCGACGATTCAGGTGTTTCTGTTCCTCCTCCTCCTCCTCCTCCTCCTCCTCCTCCTCCTCCCCTCCCCCCTCCGTCCCTCCACCCTTTCTTCCTCTACCCCCCCCGGTCATCCCGTCAGCCCGTGTTTTCTCGGCCCGAGTCGTGAGACTTGAAGCGCCAGTTAGGCTTCTCAAGAGCCCGCGGGCGGGCGCTGACTGATGCACCTGCGTATCGTCGCCTCTTGAGAGAAGCGAAGAAAAATCGTGCGCCCATCGTTTCCAGGGTCGCCGCCAGCTTCGGCAAGGCGGGAGAAGTGGAGGAGGGAGGGAGAGAGGGAGAGGGAGGCAAGGAGGCAAGGAGGGAGGAGAAGGAGGAGGTGGAGGAGGGCGAGGAGGAGGAGGAGGGCAGTGTTTGCACCGGGAGTGCCTCGTCCGTTTTTCCCCAAACTGCTTGCTGAACGGGGTGCGATTGTTATAGAAGTTCCGGCCGAGGGAAAGCGGAGCCGAGACATCCTCAAACAAATCTGGTGGTCTGGGCCGTGTCGCTTGAGACATCCTCATAACTCTCGTTTCTGAGTTGGCCGGGATTGGCCGTTTCGCCTGAGACATTCACCTGAGACATCCTCGCAACTCGGGCTCCGAGATGCCGCGCGCGAGGTGGTCCGGCCCGTCCGTTTCGCCTCAAATATCCTCGCAATTCGGGGCTCCGAGATGCCGCGCGAGTGGTGGTCTGGCCCGTTTCGGCTGAGACATCCTCGCAACTCTGGGCTCCGAGATGCCGCCCGCGAGGTGGTCTGGAGCGTTTCGCAGGAGACATCCTCGCAACTCTGAGCTCTGAGGTGCCGCGCGCGAGGTGGTCCAGCCCGTGTCATCTGAGGCATCCTCGCAACTCAGGCGTGAGAGGTGTTCCGGCCCGTTTACCTTCAGACACCCTCACGACTCGGGGCTCCGAGATGCCCCGCGCGAGTTGGTTCGGCCCGTTTCGCCTGAGACATCCTCGCAACTCGAGTCTCACAGATGCCGCGCGCGAGGTGGTCTGGCCTGTTTCGCCTGAGACATCCTCGCAACTCGGGGCTCCGAGATGGCCCGCGCGAGGTGGTCCAGACCGTTTCGCATGAGACATCCTCGCAATTCGGCGCTCCGAGCTGCCGTGCGAAAGGTGGTCTGCCCATTTCGCCTGAGACATCCTCCCAACTCGGGACTCAGAGATGCTGCGCGCGAGTTGGTCTGGCCCGTTTCGCCTGAGACATCCTTCCAACTCTGGGCCCCGATATGCCGCGCGTGAGGTGGTCCGGCCCGTTTCGCCTAAGAAATCCTCGAATCTTTGAGCTGCGAGGTACCGCTCGCGAGGTGGTCCGGCGCGTTTCGCCTGAGGCATCCTCCCAACTCTGGGCTCCGAGATGCCGCGCGAAAAGGTGTTCCAGCCCGTTTCGCCGTGGACATGTTCGAAACTCTGAGCTCCTAGATGCCGTTCGGGAGGAAGAGTTGGTGGAGAAGCAGCAAGAGCACTACCAAGAGATGCAAGGGAGGAGGAGGAGGAGGAGGAGGAGGAGGAGGAGGAGGAGGAGGAGGAGGGAGCAGGCAGGAGGAGGAGGAGGAGGAAAAGGGGGAAGGAGGGAAAGGATGAAGGAGGAAGAGAGCTGCATGAGAGGACCCAACGGAAGCGAGAGGTAGAACGGCCCGTTTCGCTTGGGACATCCTTCCGATACTGAGCTCCGAGATGCCGCTCGCGAGGTGGTCCAGCCCGTTTTTCCGGAGCCATCCTCCCAATGCGAAGCTCCGCCATGCCTTCCGCCCTCCTCAGACTTCGACGTCACGATTTTTGTTTCGAGACGTGCGCCCTCGTCCACAGAAATGCGCAACCCCAATCGAGAAACATCAAGTTCGCTTTCTGCATCCATGCCGCTTGTCGGCGGTTCTTCCGCCCGCCCCTTTCGAGCTGCCATGAGGGTCGCAGCCGCTGCAGCGGTATTGAACCGTCGATGCGGGTGTTTTTAACACGGCCTCCGACCAGAGCGACAAGGGATGACATCACAACATGCCCCCTGTTCCACGTTTCTTGTCTCCTCTTGCCCTCTCCCCCTTCCTATTACAGTTGCTTCCGGTCTCGCAGCATGGCGGTATACCCTCTTGACAATGCCGACTCGACAGCTTACTCGTCGACCAGGTAGGGGAGGAGGGAGGGGAGAGGGGAGCAGTACGAGACCCTCAAGCGATGGCTTCCTGAGAGCCTGGCATCACACATGCGAGCCGCAAATATGCAAGCATCATGTTATCATGCTCCAACTTGTCATGCCAGCCCGCACTGGACGCGGAGGCAATCGACCTTGGAGACTGATGGACTGTAACATCCTATTTAGGCATGCTGCAGCCGACCCTCGAGCTGTAGAGGTGCGGCAGGCGTGCGGGAGAAGAGCGGCGGGGGCAAGGCGAGCGCGGGGAAGGAGGAGCACAATCCCCCGTAAGGATCGGGATCGGGATCGGGCTCGTGGAGTTCGGGCGTCTACTCGATGACTCCGTGCGAAAAATCGCAGCCTCGTCTGCATGGAAGTCTGAGTGGTCAAACTCTCTTGGCCGCCTGTCTTGCGGGCGGCCTCCTGCTTGCGGACAGGACCGCACTGCCGTCTCCCGTGAGGAGGAGGAGGAAGAGGAGGAGAAGGAGGAGGAGGAGGAGGAGGAGAAGGGGGAGGATTTTGTTTCCCTCCCCACAGGCGACGAAGACACCACGATTCAAGAGCATAGCGGATCACCACAGCAAGGCTGCGCCACCACGTGCGATTGAGGAGCGCCCGTGCGATTGAGGAGCACCTGGAGGATGGGTGGGATGAAGGGGAGAAAACGAAATGGGAAGAACATGAAAGGGAACTGGAGGCTGAAAAGGAGAAGGACGGGGAGGGAGGAGGAGGAGGGGGAGGAGGAGGAGAAAGACGGCACGATGAGGACGAGGACGATCATGAGGAGGAGGAGGCGGAGGAGGACAATGGCGATGACGACGAAGACAAACTGGATGAGGATGCGGAGGCGCAGTACAGGCTCCGCGCGGGGCAGCAACAGAAGCAGGCAATGTGTCCGTAGGCTGGCTAATTATCCGACCCAACTTTGCCATGATATCCCTAGAGGCCAGCTGGGACCCGCCCCCAGAATGCTTGGCAACGCGGGCTTGCACAGTGCAAGTCTTGCGAGCGCCGATCCGTCTTATGTTCACGCACTGGCATGACTGGGATCAGACGGCGAGTACCGGCCGACCTCCTCCACTGCTTCCCCTCGATCGGCTGGGAAATCTGACGTGGGAAGTCGCAAGGGGGTCTGGGGGGACACGTGCCTTGTGGGGAAAGGTGAAGGCAGTGATGATGCAGGAGTGGGGATTGGATGGGACGGGGAGGGCAGGGAGGGTGGGTGGCAAGCTGGGTGCGCGCGCGCCATCTCTGACATCCAACCCCTCCCTTCCCATCGTGCGGACTTTTCTCTATCCACCGAAGGGTGTCATAGTTGATCTGGAACCCCGGGAGAGTCGTATCGTGTTGCGCACAATCAAACAAGGGACGCTGCGTACACTGGAGGATGAGGAGGATGTGGCGAACGAGCAAGAGGACGAGCAGGAGGAAGAGGATGATGATGATGATGCTGATGCTGATGCTGATGATGATGATAAAGATGATGTTGATGATGCTGCTGATGCTGTTGCTGATGCTGCTGCTGCTGCTGCTGCTGATGATGATGATGATGATGATGATGATGATTATGATGATGATGATGAAGGGGGAAGGGGGACGAGGAGGAACAGCGGCAGCAGGAGGAGGAATGAGCGGCAGGAGCAGGAGGACTGGAGGACCAGGGGCAGGCGGAGGAGGGGAACAGGAGCGGGATTACAACGACGAGGAGAGACTGGGATGCAAAAATGTGGCCCGCGCAGGGGCGAGAGCGCCGTTCTGAACAAAGAAAGCACAGCGTCGATCTTGAACTGGGGCCAGCGCAGCAACGGGAGCTTCATTTGGAGAAGTTCCGACCGACTCAAAAACCAGCTGGCAAAAAAAACATTGTCTGGAATTATATACGCGAACTCCTAAGTACATCTGGCTTGCACTAGATCCCAGTGTCAATATCAATGTAGAGGTCGGTCTCTCTCTCTCTCTCTCTCTCTCTCCCTCACACTACGTATACACATCATATATATAAATATGTATATACCTGTAACTTTCTATACACACACACTTCCGCACTCACGACCGATCGATCTCACTGTGACTCTACATGTCGTTGTGCACACAAAAATACCGTGCACTGAGGCACCAGTTGGAGTGTCCTCAGGTCATTGACCTAATTCCTCAAGCCTCAGCCCCCAACCCTGAAGATTCTTTAAGGGCCCTGGGCACCAACTTCTCAAAATCGCTCGGAGCTTGTCGCTTGCACCCGGGCCCAGGCGCGTCTTCCCGAATGACTTTTTGTTGACCCCGAAGGGCCCCCAGGCGGGCCCGGAACGCCCCAAGAGGCCCCCAAGACGGTCCAAGAGGGCCCCGAATCGCCGAAGGATATGTCCAAGACGCCTAGGATGGCCTGGATACGGCTGAAGAGGCGCCCAAGATGCCCGAGGGAGGCCCAAGAAGCCTCCCAAGAGCGCTCCGCGACGCAACAAATCATCAACACCTCTTCAGGCAAGCGTCTATTTTTCTCCCGATACCGTTTCGCTGGAGGGTTTTATGATGCTCGAGGATTTCCTCTCAACAGAATCTCCTCAGGAGAGGCGTCTCACCGGCCTGGCGTGGCGCTGGCTGCGGCGGCGCTCGGCGGCGGCGGCGGCGGCGGCGACCGGAGCAGAGGCTGCGGCGGCCGCGGCGCTCGGTGGTCCGCGG